CTTCTTCTTCTTCTTCTTCTTCTTCTTCTTCTTCTTCTTCTTCTTCTCCTTCTCCTTCTCCTTCTTCTCCTTCTCCTTCTCCTTCTCCTTCTCCTTCTCCTTCTCCTTCTCCTTCTCCTTCTCCTCCTCCTTCTCCTTCTCCTCCTCCTCCTCCTCCTCCTCCTCCTCCTCCTCCTCCTGCTTCTCCTCCTCCTTCTCCTTCTCCTCCTCCTCCTCCTCCTCCTCCTCCTCCTCCTCCTTCTTCTTCTTCTTCTTCTTCTTCTTCTCCTTCTCCTTCTTCTCCTCCTCCTCCTCTTCCTCCGTCTTCTTCTTCCTCCTCCTTCTCCTCATCCTCCATAGTACAGAGCCTTGATATAGCAGGTGATTCATAAATTCAACTTGAATTTATTTGAATTGATTAGAACTAATGGGCTTGCTTGAGACAAAGTGGGCCAATTAAGTTTACCATGTTCCATTGCTATCCAGAAAATTTGTGTCCTTGAGCACAATGGGGATCAGATAGAACAGCAGATTGTCACAATCCTTATTTGGCTCAAAGAGCATGTCCTAATAAAACTGAATCAGTGTTGTTAGTCATCTTTGTATAAAGACAATTTCTATTCTGCGATTTTTCCTTAAGAGAAGCTCAAAGTGCTTTAGATAGAATAAAGTTACATGGATTTTCACTCCCAAGCCCATCCTACCCTGATTCAACCTACTAAGGGAAATGACCAGAAAGGCACAAAGATTAAACTGTAAATTCTTTGTTATTCTCCATATCATTTTCTAATTATAAATTGATTTTATGGATACTCAACGTGTTGAAATTTATAGATCTTTATCCACTTCACTATGTGTTGAGATTGAGTGTTGAGTGTTGAGATTATATTGTTGTTTTTGAATAAACCTAAGAAAACTTACAAATTCAAATACCAATTGCCCCCTTAAAAGTAGTAGCCTCAGTGGGCCATACACTTATTTAAATGATGCTTTGGAATACTTCTTTGGAAACTGCTTCCAGAGATGGAGACAGCTTACTCAAAAACAGATATTTGTGGCCATTGAAGATATTGATTAAAGAATGTGCCACAAGTTGTAAAAGTTGTTCCTGAAGAGGAATAGTATTTTGAGTAATAATAGCATCATTAGAATACACATGTAGCCTCTCAAGGCCTTTTTTTACTTATTTCTAATATCTCACTTTAAAATGGACAACACTCCTTTGACTTTGCATTTTCCATTACATCTACTGAAATTGTATCCATAGTATGCTATAGACACCTTACATATACCTTATTCAGTAACTCATAGTGGTAGGAACAACTTCTACTTGAGTCCTTGCTGTGCAGTCCAGACTAGATTTTCCCTAAAGGGCAGTGAAGCTGTCCCTTGAGCCTTGACTGGTACAGAGACTAGATCTGAAGCTGTTGAAGTGGTTTCTTGAAAATCACAGGTGTAAAAAGTTCAGCCCATGAGGAGTCAGATCCCCTAAGACTTGTTGGATGTCCTACTGCCATGTGAGACAACCCAGCCTTCTGACCCAACATAGCCTGTAATCCAGTGTACTCTTCTGACTAGATGTGCTTGCACAGGGAAAAAAGCAGTATCTACCTGAACTAGTATCCCATCCATACTATTGTTAATTTTTCTTATTACATTTTGAGTGGTCCATCCCAGTTTTGAATGATTGACCAACCTGAGTAAGCCTTGTCTTGTGATATTTTCAATGCCATCACCCATGCTATTTTATTTTCTCTGCATTTTTAATCTTTGTAGTGCTTTGTATCATCCTTTTCCTCTTTAAGCTACATAAATTTGGGTCATTTCTAAAAAGGGAAAAGTTCCCACAAAAGACAAAGCAACATAGATCAAGGAACTAAAGGAAAGTGTGTTATCTTGATATAAGATACTGAGGAGTCAGGATAGAAGCAGAATGACATTTTAGTCGAGTATTTATAGTTCATTTACCACTGTTTTTCTTTTAGATATTAAAACAACAGTAAGATATAACTGCTTTAGGGCAAGAAATGTGTTATTAAAATTATTTTTATCTCCAATGTTTTATAAAGAGAGGCAGTTAATAAAAGTTGGTTGACTTTGTGAAAATATAGTCAGTCAATCAGCATTTATTAAGCACCTCCTAGGTATCAGGCACTGTGTTAAGCTTTGGTATACAGAAAGAAGTAAAAGACTGTGCCTTTCCTACAGGTCTTACAATCTAATGGGATTATACTAAATACACACTCAACAACTCTTGATTTAGAGTTTAAAATGTTGGTTACAGTCTTTATTCTGCCACTAACTAGATCTATGACCTTAGGCAGATCATTTCACTTTGCTGAGTTTCAGTTTTTTCATCTGTAAAATGAAAAGGTTCGACTAGATGACATCTAAGGTCTAAGTCCTTTCATTCTATGAGATGTGAAAATAATCCTAGCTAAATTGAATTCCTATTCAGCTACTTATTTTGAACATTATATTTTATCAGGAATTGAGTTTATAATTATTTTATTTTTACCCCCTCTCCCTACCTCTAGGCTTCAATTTGCACCATACTCAGATTTTTAAAATGACATTTTACAGTAACTGCCTATAATACTTCTTTTTCTTTAAAAAAAAAATTCATATTACATTGTAAATGAACAAGAAACCACAACATATCATGACTATCTTAACTCAAATGTCCTGACGAGACAGTGCTTTGCAGTTTGGGGATTTGGGTTTTTCCCCCTATATTATCACTCACTGACTTCCCTTCTGGTTTAAAATTCTTAGAGTATGTTGCCTCCACAGTGCAGGGAATAGAAAGTGTTTCCATTCAGTAG